TATATATATATATATATATATATATATATATATCATTAACTACGTTGAGGGATAATTACAATTGGCAAGAATGTGTATGTAAATAAAATAAATAAATTTTCAAGTCATCCAACCTAATGTGTTGTACAATTATACAATTATACAAAATACAAAATACAAAATACATTGTCCAATAATTGAACATAGTTGAAATAATGCCAAAAATAATAATAACATCAATTAATACAAAAAAAGACAAGCTCTTTTTAAAATGCACTAAAATAGGTGAAGAGAGCATGCTTGAATAAGAACATGAGTATAACATCAATGTGGATAACAACCCAACCATGCATAAGGGTATTAATAATATAGGTGATCACTGTGTGACATAAGTAGCTAAACATAAACAAGAATTTAGAGTCTAGGATTTAGGGGCTAACTAAAGAAAAAGAACAAATTGAGTAGGAAGAAAGTAAGAAGAAAGGAGATGTGAACCTAAATAAAAGACAAAATGAGTGTACCAAACAAAAGAAAAAAAAAGAAAAGAGATATTATCGTTTTTCGTGGTAAATGAAGAAAAATCTGCATTAAGTACTACTAGAGATAATAATAGTTTTAACTGATAAAATAAAAGTGAAGAAGTTTAATTTTATTTATGAAATTATGACTATCATAACAATATATAATTCACTTATTATTTGTTAATGATTTAAAAAATACTAGCGCTTTAATAGACACTAACTTTTTTTTTATAATCATGGTATATTTTCTTAGTAATTTATATATTTACACTGGAATAATTCCCTCCTGTTTCATTAAAGCTTAAACTTGAATTATGTAAATTATCATGCATGCTATCAAACTTTTTGTTTGTTTGGACTCAGTCAGTGGGAAGGGAAGGGAACGAGCTGAGAGAGTTCACAAAATAATGTTTTGATTAAACAAAAGTGAGTAAAAAATAAATGAAAATAAGTGAAAAGTCAGAAGTAGATTTTATTAGTGTGATAAAAAAAAAGGTAATATAATAAATTACAAAAACACTTTTAGTTTCATTTTAATAAAAATGTGTATGATTTATATTTTAAAATAGTTAATTATAAATTAATTAATTTATATAATTAAAAATAATGTTTACATTTCTTTTGTTGATAACATCTCACAAAATTCAATATAACATTAATTTATCTTATTAATATTTATTCTTTAAAAAAAAATAAATATCACTAATATTAAATTAAAATAAAATAAAGCAGAGTGATTAAAAATTTAAGATAACTTATATAATTAAAAAATATATGTACTAAAATATTTTTATGTCACTTTTTTTTATCAAAATTAATTTTTATTTTAATTTTATGACATTTGTTTGTTTAGATTAATATATCAGGTTATATAAACATTTGAGAGGATTTTATGAAATACGCATGGCTTTAAAGATTATGCCTTCACCCACAACCATAATTAATTATGATCCTCTTCTACTATATTAACTAAAGCATGTCCTTACAAAATTAAATTAATTTGCATGTAATTATGAAATACAATTAATTATCTCTTATTATACTGACTAATGCATATATTTATAAAATACAATTTATTTGCATGTAATTATCAAATATAGTTAATTTCTAATAACAACAACTATATCAAATCTTTCAAATTCAATTCAGAGATATTGTCCCAAAATATTAAAGTTATATGGTTCAGTTCAGTACACCAATTTAAAAATTGTAATTAAATTTATTTGGTTAATTATAATATGTTAAAAGTTGCAAGTTAATATTTTTCTTATTATAGTCACCATTATAAACAAAAAAAAAATCGCAAAATTGTAATGACATAAACATAAAAAGAAAAGGAGTAAAATGTGAAACAAATCTATCCTTTGATTGTATGTGTGGGATTTAAATAGACAGTTTTTGTTTTATTTAGTTATTTAATTATTACTTTGTAAGTTTAAGAAAATATAATTTGTTTTTACTTGACTTTCAATCAATTTATGTATGACTTTCTTATTATGTCAAAAGGAGAAAGTTAATATCAAACACTTCATAATTATAATAAATAAGAATGGAAAAAATTTACATTTAGAGTGATTTCATTAGTAATTAAGTTTATAGGCAATTTGATGTTACAATATTTAAATTGATATAATGAACAACATTTTTCAATTTAAACATTAATAAGTCTCTGAATCATTAGGATTAAAAATCAATTATTTTAAACTTCAAAAATTGCATTCATTTTTGTGAGAGAAAGTGTGTAACTCATGACATACACCAAGATATAAGTCTTTACCCTCTTAAAGAATCAAGTTCAAATAGATCACAAATGTCGTAAGCTTATTCGCCGAATCACTATAACTTCTTTCCATTTCCTCTCCTTTTCAAGTGTGATAAAGGTCTTGTAACAAATGATATAGAACTGACATAATGAGAAATTAAAGTGTAATCAATATTTATGACGACTTCCTCTTACTAAGATCACAAAAACTAACATTAAAAGTATCCTAATCGTCGAAACCATAATGGGCGAAACCATAAAAAAGAAAAGAACACGAATTAGAAGAAATGAAGAATTTCTCTGAAGTTTATTCCAGTAGTCCTAGGTACAAGGCTACAAAAAGAATGAATGAACGTGGACAACGGCAAGAGGCTAATGACCTGAATTGAGAAAACAATGGGGGAGGGGGGACCAGAGTCCCTAAATTGACCTAAACGACTCATCAGAAAAAAAAAAAAATGATCATTTACATTTAATTCTATGCTCTAGATCTCCACCAAAGCTGGAAAAACCTTGACCTGAGAACCCAAAGATCACCTTGTCATGCAGATTGCCAAATGTCAGGCCTGCACAAAGAATATGTATTCTTCTCTATTTGGTTAACTATTTTACCATTGCTTCCAGGATTTTGCCTGTTGTTAGAAAGCCCATTTAGCTTTAATGAAGTTAGAAAGTAATACTGTAGATGGTTCTCCATTAATCACAGCCAACAACTTAAAAACTCAATTCAATCTGCTGTTTATCCCCATAAATGAAGGGTCTCGAGCTTTAAGGCGCTTTGGAGCAACCTCTATGGAATGCAGCAACCTATCTGTCCGGCAATGATGTCGTCGTCTATTAACTTCCCCATTACTTCGCTTCTTATATCTTACGGATACGGGAATGCTATTTCCCCTTGCAAATTTGTCCCTCGAGGAAATTTTGCCATTATTAACCTTATGACTAACACCGTCACTATATTTGTAACTCCTTTCCTTTCTTTTTCTCATATCTACTTGTGGCACACTCCTTCCTTCGTGAAGGTCTTTCTTTAATTGTTTGAGTTCCTGCTCATATACATACAGTACTATATGTCATCATGGAAATTGCATTCGTGCAGAAAGAAATATAGAGAATGCTGAAACCCGGAAAGGTTAAATTCTTGGCTAGATCTTATCTGCACAAGATATTGGGACTAGACCACTCAATCTTTAACATATTTATACTAAACAAATTCACATAAATCCTTGTGTCACAATTATTTTACATTTAGGTAATGTACTCAATTGGTCTGCACAATTATTAGAATAAACAACAGAATCATTCACTAACGAAATACCATGATTTTTTATTGGTTGACATTATAAAAACTTATAGACTGACAATACATATCTAAAACTCATTTTTAGAAATAGTTCAAATATGTAACAATACCTGCTGTCCAGAATTTGTTGAAAACGTAGCACCTCTTATATTTCTCCTCTCTGCCTTAAGAGAAGAAGGGCGCTTAACCCTAAAAATCCCTGAATCAGAATCGTCACTCTTGTTATCCACAATAAGCTTCTTCTCTAATCTACGCACATTACCCATAGATTTATTAGGGCATTCATACTGAAGAGAGGATTGAAAAGACTCAGAAGTATCATTGGATATTCTTTCACAATTCTCTTCACAATCAGGACTGCCTAATTTAAAGTTAGCATTCACCTCATCCTGCAATAAGTATACAGAGAAAAAATGACTCCTGATGCAGGAGTATGCAAATGATAATATCTTAAATCCATAGACAGTAACTTACGATATTGGAAGCAGAGATCTCAGGAGGTTTGGAAAGAGAACATAGCGTAGATGAAGCAGAAGATACCTCAGGTCTTGAAACAAATTGACTTCGCATATGCTCTTGATTGTTTGTTGACAGCTTTGAGGTGGTACAAAAATTAGCAATAGAATCAAATTTCATCTCACAATACGGTGTATATCCATTAGCCTCAGCCATCTGGAACATGTTCGACAAAGGGCATGAATAGATATTTTTTTCACTTTTCATCTCCTTAAGTATCTCTTTCAAAATTCCATCTTCCTGCTCAAATCTCTTGGCCGCAGCTTCCATGTCTGGAGTATCTTCCCTAAGATAAAGTGTGCGCTTGGTCCCACAGGTGAAGTCAAGAAATTCTACATCTAGATTATCACATTTAAAGACATTAAAAACACGAAAATTCCATCACTAAACAAGTTGTGCATATTTTAATCAAATTGAAAAGTCACTTCATTACATATTTAACCCCAAGAAGANACATTTGAGAGGATTTTATGAAATACGCATGGCTTTAAAGATTATGCCTTCACCCACAACCATAATTAATTATGATCCTCTTCTACTATATTAACTAAAGCATGTCCTTACAAAATTAAATTAATTTGCATGTAATTATGAAATACAATTAATTATCTCTTATTATACTGACTAATGCATATATTTATAAAATACAATTTATTTGCATGTAATTATCAAATATAGTTAATTTCTAATAACAACAACTATATCAAATCTTTCAAATTCAATTCAGAGATATTGTCCCAAAATATTAAAGTTATATGGTTCAGTTCAGTACACCAATTTAAAAATTGTAATTAAATTTATTTGGTTAATTATAATATGTTAAAAGTTGCAAGTTAATATTTTTCTTATTATAGTCACCATTATAAACAAAAAAAAAATCGCAAAATTGTAATGACATAAACATAAAAAGAAAAGGAGTAAAATGTGAAACAAATCTATCCTTTGATTGTATGTGTGGGATTTAAATAGACAGTTTTTGTTTTATTTAGTTATTTAATTATTACTTTGTAAGTTTAAGAAAATATAATTTGTTTTTACTTGACTTTCAATCAATTTATGTATGACTTTCTTATTATGTCAAAAGGAGAAAGTTAATATCAAACACTTCATAATTATAATAAATAAGAATGGAAAAAATTTACATTTAGAGTGATTTCATTAGTAATTAAGTTTATAGGCAATTTGATGTTACAATATTTAAATTGATATAATGAACAACATTTTTCAATTTAAACATTAATAAGTCTCTGAATCATTAGGATTAAAAATCAATTATTTTAAACTTCAAAAATTGCATTCATTTTTGTGAGAGAAAGTGTGTAACTCATGACATACACCAAGATATAAGTCTTTACCCTCTTAAAGAATCAAGTTCAAATAGATCACAAATGTCGTAAGCTTATTCGCCGAATCACTATAACTTCTTTCCATTTCCTCTCCTTTTCAAGTGTGATAAAGGTCTTGTAACAAATGATATAGAACTGACATAATGAGAAATTAAAGTGTAATCAATATTTATGACGACTTCCTCTTACTAAGATCACAAAAACTAACATTAAAAGTATCCTAATCGTCGAAACCATAATGGGCGAAACCATAAAAAAGAAAAGAACACGAATTAGAAGAAATGAAGAATTTCTCTGAAGTTTATTCCAGTAGTCCTAGGTACAAGGCTACAAAAAGAATGAATGAACGTGGACAACGGCAAGAGGCTAATGACCTGAATTGAGAAAACAATGGGGGAGGGGGGGAGCAGAGTCCCTAAATTGACCTAAACGACTCATCAGAAAAAAAAAAAAATGATCATTTACATTTAATTCTATGCTCTAGATCTCCACCAAAGCTGGAAAAACCTTGACCTGAGAACCCAAAGATCACCTTGTCATGCAGATTGCCAAATGTCAGGCCTGCACAAAGAATATGTATTCTTCTCTATTTGGTTAACTATTTTACCATTGCTTCCAGGATTTTGCCTGTTGTTAGAAAGCCCATTTAGCTTTAATGAAGTTAGAAAGTAATACTGTAGATGGTTCTCCATTAATCACAGCCAACAACTTAAAAACTCAATTCAATCTGCTGTTTATCCCCATAAATGAAGGGTCTCGAGCTTTAAGGCGCTTTGGAGCAACCTCTATGGAATGCAGCAACCTATCTGTCCGGCAATGATGTCGTCGTCTATTAACTTCCCCATTACTTCGCTTCTTATATCTTACGGATACGGGAATGCTATTTCCCCTTGCAAATTTGTCCCTCGAGGAAATTTTGCCATTATTAACCTTATGACTAACACCGTCACTATATTTGTAACTCCTTTCCTTTCTTTTTCTCATATCTACTTGTGGCACACTCCTTCCTTCGTGAAGGTCTTTCTTCAATTGTTTGAGTTCCTGCTCATATACATACAGTACTATATGTCATCATGGAAATTGCATTCGTGCGAAAGAAATATAGAGAATGCTGAAACCCGGAAAGGTTAAATTCTTGGCTAGATCTTATCTGCACAAGATATTGGGACTAGACCACTCAATCTTTAACATATTTATACTAAACAAATTCACATAAATCCTTGTGTCACAATTATTTTACATTTAGGTAATGTACTCAATTGGTCTGCACAATTATTAGAATAAACAACAGAATCATTCACTAACGAAATACCATGATTTTTTATTGGTTGACATTATAAAAACTTATAGACTGACAATACATATCTAAAACTCATTTTTAGAAATAGTTCAAATATGTAACAATACCTGCTGTCCAGAATTTGTTGAAAACGTAGCACCTCTTATATTTCTCCTCTCTGCCTTAAGAGAAGAAGGGCGCTTAACCCTAAAAATCCCTGAATCAGAATCGTCACTCTTGTTATCCACAATAAGCTTCTTCTCTAATCTACGCACATTACCCATAGATTTATTAGGGCATTCATACTGAAGAGAGGATTGAAAAGACTCAGAAGTATCATTGGATATTCTTTCACAATTCTCTTCACAATCAGGACTGCCTAATTTAAAGTTAGCATTCACCTCATCCTGCAATAAGGATACAGAGAAAAAATGACTCCTGATGCAGGAGTATGCAAATGATAATATCTTAAATCCATAGACAGTAACTTACGATATTGGAAGCAGAGATCTCAGGAGGTTTGGAAAGAGAACATAGCGTAGATGAAGCAGAAGATACCTCAGGTCTTGAAACAAATTGACTTCGCATATGCTCTTGATTGTTTGTTGACAGCTTTGAGGTGGTACAAAAATTAGCAATAGAATCAAATTTCATCTCACAATACGGTGTATATCCATTAGCCTCAGCCATCTGGAACATGTTCGACAAAGGGCATGAATAGATATTTTTTTCACTTTTCATCTCCTTAAGTATCTCTTTCAAAATTCCATCTTCCTGCTCAAATCTCTTGGCCGCAGCTTCCATGTCTGGAGTATCTTCCCTAAGATAAAGTGTGCGCTTGGTCCCACAGGTGAAGTCAAGAAATTCTACATCTAGATTATCACATTTAAAGACATTAAAAACACGAAAATTCCATCACTAAACAAGTTGTGCATATTTTAATCAAATTGAAAAGTCACTTCATTACATATTTAACCCCAAGAAGAAAAAAAAATATAATGCTTATCTTATTATGAACAATATATGGAATGAGGAATTGACTAGTTATTTAACAACCAAAAATATATACAACCAAACCTTTCCACCTACATAGGGTCGACTAAATAAATTAAATACAATAGAGTTTAATCATAAATTGTGGTTTTTAAAAAAATCATTGACCTTACAATCTTTCTTGACAGTCTAACCTATAATTTTTCTCAGTTCTTTGCCTGTAGCAATGCGGCTACCCTACATCTGATCTACTATCTCCTGACTAAGTCGTCTCCAGGTCTTCTCCACACGTGTCCAAACTAGCCAAAATTCTACTATTTTTTAACAATAGGTTATTAGGTTGCAGCCCAACTTTCTCTGTAATGCATTCGTTTCTAAACCTATACTGAAAATGATATATCAAACAAGCACTTCATTACCTAACTTGAGAAAACTCAAATGATCTATTAGTAAAAAGCATTCACAAAAGCTTACCATGGCGAAGGCATACTGGGTGCAGGTGACATTCACAGTCAACATAAGCTACATAGCAGTCCCGTTTGCAGAGGCTACAGAGAATTGTACCCTGAGAATGTGAAGAAACACTTGTACAAGCCCTTGATTTCATTAACAGCCAACGAGCGCAATGTTGAAAGCGCATCAAATTAACAAAAGAAATCTTAACACAATCACGAGATAACAACTCTTCGGGGAAAATGTCTGAATCTTCAAGTCTTAATGTTGCATACAGAAGCATTGCTTCTTTGCATAAAAGTTCTTCATGGGGAAGCAAAGGATCTCTGTGAAGAAGTGCATATCTTTGACTTGCAATAGCCCCTAAAGGAAACCAATCACCAATTGCAAAATTCACTGCTTCTCCACAGTTGAAGCCTGAAATTTGACGGAATATATAAATTATGTATTTGATACAATAAGTGGGTTGGACTATGGGTAGGTACCCCAAGTTTAACATATCCTTTGGAACTAAAATGTACTGAATATATACAAGTAAATCTTACCATGACTAAAGCCAGCATGATATGCTCTCGGGAAAGTTATTACGTAATCCCCTGGATTTTGAACAGCCTTGTAGACAGGGACTTCATGCTCCAACAAAATATCTGGTGGGAACATAGTTGTTTTCCCCAGGAGAACATCAAAGGCTCCATCTTCTCCACCAGTTGACAAAATATCATTAGTATACACGTGTTGTCTCACCACCCTTTCAAATTCCAATGCTGCGTGACCTGGAATGCCATACCAAGTTTTTGATGCTCCACAGTGATGATAATTAACGCTGTCATAACAATATAAATATGATTAAATAAACATGCAGCAAATGCTAACCAGTGCCCAAAGTTTTCAAACCTATAAAGCTTTTATAAAAATGTTACTGATGCTCCATTACCATGATTTCCAAATGCTTGTTGCAATTAATAGAATTTAATATTAGTATTTTTAGATTCTTAACTCTTGAGAATTGTAAATTTTTTTGCCTCTTGAAATTCCTGGATTAAAAGTAACAAAGGCTATATATACGAGTGACTTCATCCATTTTGTAATCATCAGATTAATAAATCATTCAGATTTCTCCTTCAAATCTTTCCTACTTTCATGTTGCCCAATTTTTGTCTTTTTAATTTCTACCTGTTACTCTCTTATCTAGCACCCTTCAAGACACTGGTTAGCAAGACCCTTAGCATTATTAAGCCTGTGATGATGTTATGTAGTAAGCAACATTTACCTGTATAAATAATGATCTTCCACGTGCCAAGCAAACATGCTAAACAGCATTCCAATGTATAGCATGGGTTCTGTTACTCCCTGGAATAAAGACCCTAAATACGTTATTGACAACTATGGACATGGGTTTGGTCATTCAAAGAAAATAACTGTTATACCGGAATTGATGTTTCCAAGAGCCGCAAAATAGACTTGGGCAACCACGAAAATTTCTGAGATCATAGAAAAAAATGTACTTCACCAAGTTAAACAACAATACACTACTAGATCACATTTACCAAAAAGAAAACAACGAAAAAAATCATATCATATTCCAACAAATAAAATAAAAATCTCACTAAAAGTGTCAAAAAAATTACATCAACATGGACAAATTGAAAAAGTTTTACAATAGTAAACAGGGGGCATTGCTTGGATGTTCATCACCCAAGCAACCCAAGATGAATGCTCAAAAGGAGTGGATACAACCTTCTTTATAAAGGCTGCTGAGAGGTCCAAGCCCAGAAGTCACAAGGTTTACAAAAGAAAAAGGAGAGATTCAGCAATCATAACCCTGATATAGATAGTTAAAAACATTATAAATAGGGGATTAGAAGAGAGAAGGGGGACATATGTTTTTTTAGAGTGTTCTTGGAACCTACTGATGAAAGGGTGTAGGGCTCTTGAAATCCCTATAAAGCTTGCCAAATTGGCCAGGAGGATCACCAATCAATTCTCAATAAAAATTCCTTATTTTTATTCTTAATTCTTCTTTTTCTCGTCTAGAACCAATCACCTGGTATCACAACTCCCAATTCAGGAAGCACTATTACAATATAACAACGAAGACAAGAACAGAAACACAACAGAATTCCCTACAAAAAGTTAGCACGGCTACCCAGGAAGAGCAAGAAACTCAAAGAATTGCAAGATGGAAGGTTCAAGATGGATGGAATTCTTGACGTTATAAAGTAGATGATGAAAGATAAATTAGAGGAATTATAAAGGTCGTAGGGAGGACTATCCTGAAGCAGAGGGGGTTTGGTCAAAAGACCCATCCGATAGTGGAGGACCAGACAAGTAGAAGAAACACCAGATTCCGATGTTCACGGGGAAGATGCTTTTGGGTGGCTGCATCTCCTGGAGAAATATTTGAAAATTGAGTGTCAACCAAGAAGAAAGGATGGAGGTAGTATTATTTGCTATGGAGGGAAGGCACTAAGTTGGCTCCGTTGGTGAGAGTCTAGTAACTCATCCTTCTCGGGAAGCACTCAAGACAGTGATGATTCAAAGATTTCAACCCACTATGATACATAGTCCTTTTGAACGCTTGTTGAGCCTGAAACAAACATGTTTGGTTAAGGAATACATCGAGCAAGTTGAAAGATATGATGGCTATTATACTTGCTGTCCAAAGGTGGAGACATTATCTTTTGGGCATCACTTTATCATTCTTATTGATCGAAGGAGCCTTAAATTTCTATCATGAGATTAATAGGGGAAAAGGAAAATAAGTGGGCTACCAAGCTAATAGGGTGTGATTTTGAAGTTCATTACTTTTCATTAAAAGCTAATACGGTTACCAAGCTAATAGGACATGATTAAAGAATAAGTGAGTTATATCAAAGCTGATGTATATATATGTATATATATATATATATATATGTGTGTGTGTGTGTGTGTATGAAAAAGGGAAGATTAAACTTATAAGGGAAAGTCATATCCTGTAACACTTCATCCTTAGGCTAGGTACGTACACCAAAAAAGTAGCTTTATTAATGTTGTAAAATACAATAGAAATGATCATTTTAACACTCACCTCACGGTAGAGCATGTAAATTGTATGCACTAAGCCTGAAATATATAAACTTAATTTCAGGCCCTCTGCAGGACTTCGTAACAATATTTGCAAGTTGCTTGCCATGATAAAATGACAATTGGCGTGTTTGGTACTTTCACGGAACACGTGACTGGGGCTGTCTAATCATCATAATACAACTTCATCTGCTCAACTTTACAGGATTTCAACTCTTCAAAGTTGTTTAATCCACACACGTTCAAAACTAGCTAAAGCCATAGATCTATATTCAATTTCTGCATTGGATCGGGCAACAGTTTGTTTCTTGCCCTTCCAGGTTCCCTCCAATGACAACACAGTATCTAGTCTACTCTCAATGGGACAGCCAACCCAATTTGCATTTCTATAACCCTATAATTTAAGTATTTCTTTTGTCATCATACAACAATCCTTGTTCTGGTTCTCACATCTCATAGCATTGATCCTTACAGCTAGCAAAGTGGCTGCTGTTTTTCTCAGAAATAGTCTAACTGCATGGTTTCCCTGCCTCTATAGTTAAAGCCGGAATCAAGTTTTCTTAAGCAGATACTCCATGGTGTTGCTTAAAGGAGCAGGAACACAGTTGAAATATAGCTCAGCTTATCATCCTCAAACAGATGGACAAATGGTCATAATTGGTCATAATGGTTAAGTTGGGCATGGTTTTGGTTCAATCCAAATTATACTGATATCCAATACTATTGAAGGGAACTACAATCCATCCAAGGTTGAGGAAGTAAATCCGTTAGTGCAGCAATGAGATAAATTGCTAGATCAGTTAAGTTAGTTTGAAAAAACCCAAGACCAGAATTTGATACATGCCAAAAAGCACTGAAGAGATGTTACATTTAAGGAAGGAGACTCGGTTTATCTTAAGCTACAGCCTTATAAAATGAAGTTCTTGGCTAGGAGACCCAATGTGAAGCTGAGTCCATGCTTCAATGGCTGTTATCAGGTAATAAAAAGTATAGGAGAAAGAACTGACTTACTGGTTGCAGCTGTCCAAATCCAGCTGAATTCACCCAGTTTTCTGTGTCTATTTATTAAAGCAATCAGTGAAGTCACATGTACAACCCCAAACTCTTCCAGCTATGCTGATTGAGGAACAAACATTGGAGGGTCAGACAAAATCGGTATTGAACATCAGAGAAGGTTCATGAGAATCATTGGAAATTTTGATAAAGTGGAAGAAGATTCTAGTGTGTGAGAACAGTTGGGAACCAACATCCAGAATACAAGAAGCATTTCCAGAATTTCACCTTGAGGACGAGGAGGAGACTGTAAGAGAGGGGTATTACTAAGAAGCAAAGGCCCAAAATTTATAAGGTGCATAAAAGGGAAAAAGAAAAGCGGGATGCAGGGAATCATAACCCTGATTAAAAGAGGAGAGGGACACATATTTTTGGAGTATCATAGAACCTAGTTGCTGGAGGATGCAGGGCNCTTCTATGCTCTAGATCTCCACCAAAGCTGGAAAAACCTTGACCTGAGAACCCAAAGATCACCTTGTCATGCAGATTGCCAAATGTCAGGCCTGCACAAAGAATATGTATTCTTCTCTATTTGGTTAACTATTTTACCATTGCTTCCAGGATTTTGCCTGTTGTTAGAAAGCCCATTTAGCTTTAATGAAGTTAGAAAGTAATACTGTAGATGGTTCTCCATTAATCACAGCCAACAACTTAAAAACTCAATTCAATCTGCTGTTTATCCCCATAAATGAAGGGTCTCGAGCTTTAAGGCGCTTTGGAGCAACCTCTATGGAATGCAGCAACCTATCTGTCCGGCAATGATGTCGTCGTCTATTAACTTCCCCATTACTTCGCTTCTTATATCTTACGGATACGGGAATGCTATTTCCCCTTGCAAATTTGTCCCTCGAGGAAATTTTGCCATTATTAACCTTATGACTAACACCGTCACTATATTTGTAACTCCTTTCCTTTCTTTTTCTCATATCTACTTGTGGCACACTCCTTCCTTCGTGAAGGTCTTTCTTCAATTGTTTGAGTTCCTGCTCATATACATACAGTACTATATGTCATCATGGAAATTGCATTCGTGCGAAAGAAATATAGAGAATGCTGAAACCCGGAAAGGTTAAATTCTTGGCTAGATCTTATCTGCACAAGATATTGGGACTAGACCACTCAATCTTTAACATATTTATACTAAACAAATTCACATAAATCCTTGTGTCACAATTATTTTACATTTAGGTAATGTACTCAATTGGTCTGCACAATTATTAGAATAAACAACAGAATCATTCACTAACGAAATACCATGATTTTTTATTGGTTGACATTATAAAAACTTATAGACTGACAATACATATCTAAAACTCATTTTTAGAAATAGTTCAAATATGTAACAATACCTGCTGTCCAGAATTTGTTGAAAACGTAGCACCTCTTATATTTCTCCTCTCTGCCTTAAGAGAAGAAGGGCGCTTAACCCTAAAAATCCCTGAATCAGAATCGTCACTCTTGTTATCCACAATAAGCTTCTTCTCTAATCTACGCACATTACCCATAGATTTATTAGGGCATTCATACTGAAGAGAGGATTGAAAAGACTCAGAAGTATCATTGGATATTCTTTCACAATTCTCTTCACAATCAGGACTGCCTAATTTAAAGTTAGCATTCACCTCATCCTGCAATAAGGATACAGAGAAAAAATGACTCCTGATGCAGGAGTATGCAAATGATAATATCTTAAATCCATAGACAGTAACTTACGATATTGGAAGCAGAGATCTCAGGAGGTTTGGAAAGAGAACATAGCGTAGATGAAGCAGAAGATACCTCAGGTCTTGAAACAAATTGACTTCGCATATGCTCTTGATTGTTTGTTGACAGCTTTGAGGTGGTACAAAAATTAGCAATAGAATCAAATTTCATCTCACAATACGGTGTATATCCATTAGCCTCAGCCATCTGGAACATGTTCGACAAAGGGCATGAATAGATATTTTTTTCACTTTTCATCTCCTTAAGTATCTCTTTCAAAATTCCATCTTCCTGCTCAAATCTCTTGGCCGCAGCTTCCATGTCTGGAGTATCTTCCCTAAGATAAAGTGTGCGCTTGGTCCCACAGGTGAAGTCAAGAAATTCTACATCTAGATTATCACATTTAAAGACATTAAAAACACGAAAATTCCATCACTAAACAAGTTGTGCATATTTTAATCAAATTGAAAAGTCACTTCATTACATATTTAACCCCAAGAAGAGAAAAAAATATAATGCTTATCTTATTATGCACAATATATGGAATGAGGAATTGACTAGTTATTTAACAACCAAAAATATATACAACCAAACCTTTCCACCTACATAGGGTCGACTAAATAAATTAAATACAATAGAGTTTAATCATAAATTGTGGTTTTTAAAAAAATCATTGACCTTACAATCTTTCTTGACAGTCTAACCTATAATTTTTCTCAGTTCTTTGCCTGTAGCAATGCGGCTACCCTACATCTGATCTACTATCTCCTGACTAAGTCGTCTCCAGGTCTTCTCCACACGTGTCCAAACTAGCCAAAATTCTACTATTTTTTAACAATAGGTTATTAGGTTGCAGCCCAACTTTCTCTGTAATGCATTCGTTTCTAAACCTATACTGAAAATGATATATCAAACAAGCACTTCATTACCTAACTTGAGAAAACTCAAATGATCTATTAGTAAAAAGCATTCACAAAAGCTTACCATGGCGAAGGCATACTGGGTGCAGGTGACATTCACAGTCAACATAAGCTACATAGCAGTCCCGTTTGCAGAGGCTACAGAGAATTGTACCCTGAGAATGTGAAGAAACACTTGTACAAGCCCTTGATTTCATTAACAGCCAACGAGCGCAATGTTGAAAGCGCATCAAATTAACAAAAGAAATCTTAACACAATCACGAGATAACAACTCTTCGGGGAAAATGTCTGAATCTTCAAGTCTTAATGTTGCATACAGAAGCATTGCTTCTTTGCATAAAAGTTCTTCATGGGGAAGCAAAGGATCTCTGTGAAGAAGTGCATATCTTTGACTTGCAATAGCCCCTAAAGGAAACCAATCACCAATTGCAAAATTCACTGCTTCTCCACAGTTGAAGCCTGAAATTTGACGGAATATATAAATTATGTATTTGATACAATAAGTGGGTTGGACTATGGGTAGGTACCCCAAGTTTAACATATCCTTTGGAACTAAAATGTACTGAATATATACAAGTAAATCTTACCATGACTAAAGCCAGCATGATATGCTCTTGGGAAAGTTATTACGTAATCCCCTGGATTTTGAACAGCCTTGTAGACAGGGACTTCATGCTCCAACAAAATATCTGGTGGGAACATAGTTGTTTTCCCCAGGAGAACATCAAAGGCTCCATCTTCTCCACCAGTTGACAAAATATCATTAGTATACACGTGTTGTCTCACCACCCTTTCAAATTCCAATGCTGCGTGACCTGGAATGCCATACCAAGTTTTTGATGCTCCACAGTGATGATAATTAACGCTGTCATAACAATATAAATATGATTAAATAAACATGCAGCAAATGCTAACCAGTGCCCAAAGTTTTCAAACCTATAAAGCTTTTATAAAAATGTTACTGATGCTCCATTACCATGATTTCCAAATGCTTGTTGCAATTAATAGAATTTAATATTAGTATTTTTAGATTCTTAACTCTTGAGAATTGTAAATTTTTTTGCCTCTTGAAATTCCTGGATTAAAAGTAACAAAGGCTATATATACGAGTGACTTCATCCATTTTGTAATCATCAGATTAATAAATCATTCAGATTTCTCCTTCAAATCTTTCCTACTTTCATGTTGCCCAATTTTTGTCTTTTTAATTTCTACCTGTTACTCTCTTATCTAGCACCCTTCAAGACACTGGTTAGCAAGACCCTTAGCATTATTAAGCCTGTGATGATGTTATGTAGTAAGCAACATTTACCTGTATAAATAATGATCTTCCACGTGCCAAGCAAACATGCTAAACAGCATTCCAATGTATAGCATGGGTTCTGTTACTCCCTGGAATAAAGACCCTAAATACGTTATTGACAACTATTGACATGGGTTTGGTCATTCAAAGAAAATAACTGTTATACCGGAATTGATGTTTCCAAGAGCCGCAAAATAGACTTGGGCAACCACGAAAATTTCTGAGATCATAGAAAAAAATGTACTTCACCAAGTTAAACAACAATACACTACTAGATCACATTTACCAAAAAGAAAACAACGAAAAAAATCATATCATATTCCAACAAATAAAATAAAAATCTCACTAAAAGTGTCAAAAAAATTACATCAACATGGACAAATTGAAAAAGTTTTACAATAGTAAACAGGGGGCATTGCTTGGATGTTCATCACCCAAGCAACCCAAGATGAATGCTCAAAATTAGTGGATACAACCTTCTTTATAAAGGCTGCTGAGAGGTCCAAGCCCAGAAGTCACAAGGTTTACAAAAGAAAAAGGAGAGATTCAGCAATCATAACCCTGATATAGATAGTTAAAAACATTATAAATAGGGGATTAGAAGAGAGAAGGGGGACATATGTTTTTTTAGAGTGTTCTTGGAACCTACTGATGAAAGGGTGTAGGGCTCTTGAAATCCCTATAAAGCTTGCCAAATTGGCCAGGAGGATCACCAATCAATTCTCAATAAAAATTCCTTATTTTTATTCTTAATTCTTCTTTTTCTCGTCTAGAACCAATCACCTGGTATCACAACTCCCAATTCAGGAAGCACTATTACAATATAACAACGAAGACAAGAACAGAAACACAACAGAATTCCCTACAAAAAGTTAGCACGGCTATCCAGGAAGAGCAAGAAACTCAAAGAATTGCAAGATGGAAGGTTCAAGATGGATGGAATTCTTGACGTTATAAAGTAGATGATGAAAGATAAATTAGAGGAATTATAAAGGTCGTAGGGAGGACTATCCTGAAGCAGAGGGGGTTTGGTCAAAAGACCCATCCGATAGTGGAGGACCAGACAAGTAGAAGAAACACCAGATTCCGATGTTCACGGGGAAGATGCTTTTGGGTGGCTGCATCTCCTGGAGAAATATTTGAAAATTGAGTGTCAACCAAGAAGAATGGATGGAGGTAGTATTATTTGCTATGGAGGGAAGGCACTAAGTTGGCTCCGTTGGTGAGAGTCTAGTAACTCATCCTTCTCGGGAAGCACTCAAGACAGTGATGATTCAAAGATTTCAACCCACTATGATACATATTCCTTTTGAACGCTTGTTGAGCCTGAAACAAACATGTTTGGTTAAGGAATACATCGAGCAAGTTGAAAGATATGATGGCTATTATACTTGCTGTCCAAAGGTGGAGACATTATCTTTTGGGCATCACTTTATCATTCTTATTGATCGAAGGAGCCTTAAATTTCTATCATGAGATTAATAGGGGAAAAGGAAAATAAGTGGGCTACCAAGCTAATAGGGTGTGATTTTGAAGTTCATTACTTTTCATTAAAAGCTAATACGGTTACCAAGCTAATAGGACATGATTAAAGAATAAGTGAGTTATATCAAAGCTGATGTATATATATGTATATATATATATATATATATGTGTGTGTGTGTGTGTGTATGAAAAAGGGAAGATTAAACTTATAAGGGAAAGTC